TGCCCCGACCATATATGATAGGCCTAGATGTATTTCATTATTATCAGATTATTTATTATGATATTAATTAGTACTCTCAGTAGCAGGTATGTCTGTCTTTGCATCATTTTAACATCTAATTCAGTAACATTGGCCTAATTCTGTCTTCCCTAGACTTACATATTGTATAAGCGTTCTATAATGAAATTTTTCTTTCATATTTTAGGCAAAATGGTACGCAACTATGAACGGAAAACTGAGCATCAGAAGTGGTCCGAACAGGCTATGAAAGAGGCAGTGGCTAAAGTACGTGACAAAGAAATGACTATTGGAGATGCAGCTGAGACATACGGTATTCTGAAGACAACGTTATTCCGAAGAGTAGGGAAAGAGGGAAAACCTGCTGATGTGGCGAAAAACGGGCTTGGGCGTTACAGGTGAGTTTTTATTAATGAATTATCTATTTAATGACACTCCTCACTTTGGCATTCGACACATTTAAGATCTTATCATGTTTCAATGATTGTCTTGTCCTAAGTTGCTGTTTCTTTGTATTTTTTAGGCCCGTCTTTACTCAACAGCACGAAAATGACCTTGCAGAATATGCTTTGTTCATGGAGAATCGTTTATTCGGATTAACACTGAGGGACTTCCGACAGTTGACCTTCCAATTTGCTGTCAGAAACGGTGTAGAACATCCTTTTAATAAGGAACTGAAGATGGCAGGAGAGGATTTTGTTTACGGATTTTTGAAGCGCCATCAAGCATTATCACTACGTACACCAGAAGCCACTTCAGCAGCAAGAGCTGCAGGTTTTAACAGAGTAGTAGTAATGAAATTCTTCAGACTATTGGACTCACTCTATGAAAAATACCATTTTCCCCCAAGCCGCATCTATAACAACGATGAAACTGGAGTAATGACAGTGCCAAAGAAGACATCAAAAGTTATATCGCTGAAGGGGAAAAAAACAGGTTGGTGCCCTCGTCTCTGCAGAAAGGGGAACGTTGGTGACTGCAGAAATCTGTTTCAACGCTCTTGGTAATTACGTACCCCCATTGCTTATCTTCCCTCGAAAGAATCTCAATCCCCTGTTTGAAGTAGGAGCACCACCAGAAACTGTAATTGCATGTCACCCATCTGGATGGGTGCAGTCTGAAATCTTCGCACAAACATGGTTCAACCATTTCCTGCGCCACACAAAGCCTACAGCCGAAGATCCCGTCCTTCTAATTTTTGATGGTCACGCAACACACACCAAGAACCTCCTTTTAATCAAAATGGCAAGGAAGCATCATGTGCATATCCTTGTCATCCCACCCCACACGTTGCATCGCTTGCAACTGCTTGACGTTTCCTTTATGGGACCTCTAAACACATACTATGAACAGGAAGTGCGAGTATGGCTCAGGAACCACCCAGGGAAGGTTATCACCATCTACCATGTTGCTGCTCTTTTTGGGTGTGCGTATCAGAAGGATGCAACTTCATCAATAGCCATCAGTGGTTTCGCCAAAACTGGTATATATCCCTTCAACCCGAACGTTTTCCCGGAATTACATGTTTGCTGCAGCAGAAACAACAGACAAACCCGCACCAGCAGATGAACCAACACCTTCGACATCTAATGCTGCACTACCAGTTCTAGCTCTACCTGACGCTGCACCACCAGTTCCAGCTTTACCTGACGCTGCACCACCAGTTCCATCAACATCAGTGGGCTCTGGGTTGTTGATTACACCAACTTCCAAGAAAAACGATCGCAATTACCTCTCTCCGGCTGATATCATGGGAGTCCCTCAGGTTAAACAAGCTGAACCAAGGAGCCAAGGTATCAAAAGAGGCAAGACAGTGATATTGACTGGCAGTCCCTATTTAAAAGAATTGGAAACCGATCTTAGTAGCAAAAAAAAGAAGCCATCCGCAAAGGCTCAGTTGTTTGGTTCAAAACAAGGAGGTGGCAAGGGTCAAAGTAGAAATAATGGGAAAGGGAAAGGAAAGGCGCAAAAAAAGGGTAAAGTTGATGGGGCGAAACGGGGAAATGATGAGGATGTCCCCTGCATCTATTGTTCTGGCCTTTATTCGGAATCAAAAAGTGGTGAAGAGTGGATCATGTGTGACACATGCAACAAATGGGCACACGAAGAATGCGCAGGGCCAAACGACGTGGACAATTATATTCGTGAATTTTGCATAGAATAGAAAATTTCCTTCGAAAATAATGAACATTAATGTCTTGGCTTAAAGAGAATCATAGCCTATAAGTTAGTGTAATCTTTGTTTTACAATGCCAATAAATGTAATTTTGACAGTAGCCTGCTTTCAGCATTTTTGTGTCGGATTAATCATGCATATCAACTCAGTAATGGATTGACCCATATTGTAATTTGATGTTTAGAGTTGGACACTGAAAGAGCAACGTTTTTGACACAATATACATGGAGTAAAATGACATTCCACTTTGCCCCATAACAAGTTTCACTTTGCACCGGGAGTCTGGGGCAAAATGGAATTTTTTAAATTTTTATAATTTTGTATATTTCCTTAGTCGTTTTTTAGATTAAATTTGTTTGTACCGCCTGTTAGTGCTTGTCCTAAGCCAAAGGATTAGAGCCAAACATTTCATTTTGTCTCGCTCTTTCATAGCGTTTTGGCCAACCAAATTTCTTCGGTCCACTTTGCCCCGGGTTCCCCTACATTTTAATTGTTACATGCTTGTATCGCTGTCCACCATGGAAAGAATATAAATGAAATCATACAAGTTAACTAAATCATATAATGATTATCCTCGCTCTTATATTCTCTTCTCTATTTATATATATCCTCTCTCATGTCATATTATCGCTGGTGTTGACATGCTTGTATCGCTGTCCACCATGGAAAGAATATAAATTGTATCGCAGTATGAAATGATATTACAATCCTTTTGCTTTTAAATGAATAAATAAGAAACACCCTTGGTCTGTAGCCCTTGGCTGGAAAGTGGTTTTGCGCAACTTATCAGATCGTGCGCTTTGAGTGGCGCCACCGTCGTAATCAAACTGTAGTCGTTAGTTTTAAAACATTTTTTAATATTATTTCTAATGGTGATTGAACCATGAAACTTTTCATGTAGCGTAATTATAACCTAAATTAGCTGAAAATAACCCTAGAACCTAGAGTAAACTCTCCCTTTAAGCCGAATAATAATTATTATTAATCAGCCGAATACACTTTATGTGTGCAGATCGCCTATAGGCGCAGTATATAATGGCGTAGATAATAGATAAATAGGCTTAGTCGTCAATACGGTACGCTCCGATACATTCCCATAGTTTCTTAGATTGGGCGCTAGATGGCGGTAGTGTAAAACTGCGCCGCCATACTGGACGTCATAAACTGTATTTCACCGAACTTTGTCATTACGGTCGGTCGTTGTCGCTGCAGTGTGGCTGCGCCAGTCGCCGCGACTTTGTCGTTTGTCGTTACGGTCGGTCGTTGTCGCTGCAGTGTGGCTGCGCCAGTCGCCGCGACTTTGTCGTTTGTCGTTACGGTTGGTCGCTGTCGCTGCAGTGTGTCTTGGCCTTTAGGTAGTAGCATCAGCAGACCTGCCAACCCTTACGATTTTTTCGTATTCCTTACTAATTCCAAGATGTTTTTACGAATGTACGATCAAACTGAAAAACTACTACAATTTTTTTCGCCTTGTGAAAATTCATGTTTTTTACATTGTGGGCGCAGCCATATTGGATCACGCGTTCACGTTGTTCTCGCGTGATCTAGAATTAGTCCCATCATTCATTGCGCGCATAACATACAAACGAAATGGCCGCCTGTTGGAAGAAAAGAAAAGCTGAGATAAATGATGTTAACAATAACAATCTGCCGAGTACACCGCCAAGAAAACGAAGTCAGTGGGCACAGAAATTTATAAACGAATATGCAGAACTCTTCCCCTGTACAAAGAAGTCAGCGATAGGCAAAACTTATGCACACTGCAAGATCTGTGTTGGCGATATATCGATCGCTCATGGCGGCAAAGATGACATCCGGAATCACATCAAAAGCCAGATGAGACGGGATACTAGAGAAGCGTTGCCGAAAGGAGGTGTTGATCCCAAGCGCTATACGCGCAGATGTTGCGCACAGTTCCGCGGCAAGGCGCACGCGACCGCGGGAACGTCCTACGACAGTATGCAGCGCTGGCAGCTATGGATCCNAAATCGCCCTGCATACGCCCTTCTGAGACTAGACATTTTGGGGTATGCCCTGCAACCGCCCTTCTGAGACTTAGAAATTTTTAGCACGATTCGAGAACGCCCTGCAAACGCCCTTCTGAGACTTAGACATTTTGACAGATTGAACACTAAAGCCCGGCGCACATTGCCGAACATTTTTCTCAAAAACATTATCGTAGCAATGTTCCATGAAATGTTCGGCAATGTGCGGTGAAAAAAGTTGCCGCACATTTGTTCCGAACAATGCTTCTAAAGATCGGAAATGTTTGATATCTCGAACATTGTTTGTCGAATGTTCGTCAATGTGCGCTGAAAGTCGAACAATTCTAGGAACATTTGTAAAGTAGTAACCAATAGCAGCACGATATGTGGTCACATGATTTTTGTGTACAATATGGCGTCTGCTATATCGCTGCCAGAAGTGTGGACTTTTGAAAAGGAAGAGATTATGGTCGAAATGTGGGGGCAGCAGCCCTGTCTGTTCGTGGTGGGGCCACTCTCCGTTTCCGTAAAATTAGTAAAGTTGTCAAAATTTTCTTGTGCAAACTGGGCATCGCCATTCACGCCGATCACTTGACTCTTTACAACACAGCTACTAGACGGCGCCACGAGGTTGTTCGCTGCAAAATGTTCGGCAATGTGTGCTCAGCAATTGTTCACCCGCACATTGCCAGACAAAAACATTGTTCGGGAAAATGTTCGGCAATGTGCGCCAGGCTTTACACTACCTGGCAAATGCTATTCTTCTGTCCTATAATATGCAAAATAGGAAATCCATAACTCTTGCTACAAAATGCACATGTACTTTATTTTCCTTCGGTTTGTGACCACACATATAGTAAACACATGTATCAAATAAACTAACATTTTAAACAATCTTTTAACATTTTAAACAATCAACACATTAAAATATTTGGGACACTGAACTTGTTACAAGCTGCATGTCCCTATTGGGGTATGCAACCTCAGATATCACGAAACAATTCTTTGCTCCATGTCATACTTTTTCACACTAGAAATCTGTAAATGGAATTAAGCCAAGAAAACACATGGAAAAGTTTCACAAATCAAATGGTCCAGTCCTGCACATGTAAAAAGTTAACACTAGTTTAAAAGCCAATTATGACAATTTCCTTTTTCAAATTTGAATCATAACATTACAATAGAAAACTGAAAACTAAAAATTGTTTTCTGCTCGTACGGGCATTATAGGATTAGGTCAATATGTTCTACTCAAGACACAGCAAGCATAAGCCTTTTCAGTATATATATAACCCGATAAGAATTTAACTATGCGTATATATGCGATCAACAATATGTTCTTGTACTGTATGCTATGTCAGTCTTTTTCTACAGCATTTGGTAGCACAGTGATGAAAATGTTAGTTGCATGATTTGTGTCCATTACTACACAAAGATCCATTATATTTTCAATTGGTATGAGTTCTAGTTCACTGTTCTGGGATGACTTTTCCAATACTCTAACATGGGAATAAGATTTACAAATAGTTTGACATTCCTGATATTGTTTTAAAACCATATAAAATTTGTCATATTTGTCATAGTGAACTTTGAGGAAGTACTGCACCTCTCCAAAACCATAGTTTCCATTTGAAATCGCATATAATACAAAACGACTATTTCGACAAGATGAGGCGTTATAAGCTACACTATGTAAAATCCGTCCATGAAATAATACCCTACTGAATTTGTTTGCATTTCCAAATCACATGTCTAGTTTCTGTAGCACTTGTTGAGGTAACTTACTGCAATCGATGTTTATCAAAGGATGAACTGCCAAAACACGATTTGAGATCGATTCTGTTGTTTTCTTTATTTTATTATAACTCACTAGTTTCCGATAAAAAACATCTTCTGGCGATCCGACCAATAACAAGTTTGCTAAATCCGGGATTTTCATCTGAACAGATACAGCATATATAATTTGTAAGTTAACGTTTTGAGTTCCATGGAACATGGTACGTAGGTCACCGTTTAAATCTTCATAAAAAAACAGGATTGTGACCAGAGTGGTCCTAAATCAACCACTTTGTCTACTAAATGTAGTAGTGAATGTGCATTGGATGTGTCCATACGTGAACCATATAAAATGTCCATCTTGCAACAAAGCTCTAGAAGCATAACACGTGCCATCTCTATCTCACCCAGTGGAATTGAAGACTTGAGTAAGATGAATATCGAATGAGATAAGAGAATGAAATGTTCGTAATATTCATCCGCAAGAACATGATATAAAACTGGAATACAGTAAAACAAAAGAAACGATCGAATCTCCGAGGCTTTCCAGTGGACAAAGTCACTGAGTGAGCGTGCCGGTCTACTAATGCATACTGGAGATTTAATATTTAACAAACGTTCGTTAATGACTTTCATTTTTTCAGCAGAGCCAATGAAATATGGCTGGGATCTGTTTTGTTTGTCTGTCCATTTGTTTATGAGAGATTTTGCAACTCCCAACAAAACTGCATGCATATAATCAACGGATACACCGCGTATAACATTAAATGCTGGTAGCTTGAACAACCAGCTCAAACCTTTTACACCATTAACAGTAACAGCTTTATTTTCAGCATCCACTGCATCCTTGTAGGTTTCTTCATGTGTTCTTAATTTATGATGACCAGATTCTGAGTGTGTTGAATGGGAAAATTGTAACTCGCCCTTTTTCACTGACTTTTAAATTCTCTCCTGGTATGCTGCAGTTGGGACAACTGTTATAGCCATTGAACTGAAGAAAGCCCTGTGCACTGGATCTAGCAGGTGAATCGAAAACCCCACTCAACATTACAGTTCTGACAAGCAGTTGCTTCCCACAATGTAGAATCTCAAAACCTACAAAGGAAAAATAAATGATCAACATATGATTATTTACAAGTTGAGCTAATAATTGTTCCTCTTCTCTCGCATTTAGTCACTATTTGTTGTGTACACAAAAATGAAATTGTACAGTGGATATTAATTGAACACTGTATATGTAGTTGCCGATTAACGATCATTAACTGAACTACGTTGTGTGTACAGATGTCACAGGTTCGTCATTTTTCCTATGCAAGTGAATTGGTCGCCTCTCAATTCAAATCAACATAAGGCCCACACTTTTTGCTGTGTCGTGCTAGAAATTTGTCGAGAAAGCACATGAAAAGTTCGACATATAAATCAAATCTTAAGCGTGGCACGACTGAGCCGTGTAGCACGCCTGGTCCAGTCATGTTACACGCCTAGTCGTGTCGCGCTAGCCGTTTGATTTATACGTCAAACTTTTGTTGAGCCGTGCTAACGGTTTAATTGGATAACTATATTATTCCATATTTAGGACAAATTTGCTTGGCCCTGATAAAGTAGCAATGCTCGATAATGCACGACTCGCAAAAGTTTGGCATAGAAATTGGGTCTAACAAAGATTAAAGATACATGTTTTTCTACAAAAATGTGGGGCCATACTGTATTCACTGTCGTCCGTCCATCCATAAGTTTTCCTTGTGATAACTTCTGTTATAAGTCGTCTTCAGTTAACCCTTGCAGATTTCAGCTGGGAACTCATTTTAAGAATCCAATGACTCTGGACAAGTATCCACATATAGATGTCTCAGCTCACACATACATTGATTGTAAAGATTTTGGAATTCCTTGATTAATGGTTCACAATATATTAGCATATCTGCCTTGTGTTCTCCAAACCATAGGCCTGCAAATATTCTGAATTTCCTTGTGTACCTGAAAAAAAATTCACTGGTTATGAAAATGCGGAATTAGATAGATCAGATAATTGTGCTGGTTCCACAAATTGAGTCTAGACAAACTGGTATATAGTGGTATGGAATGGAATGATAAGTTGCATCTACACTCGACAACTGAATATGGGCTTCAATACCGGTATTGAATCAAACCCGGGTTTCCAGACACCTGCACAATTTCAGCCAGTCGGGGCCAAATCTTTGAAACATGTCATTTTTATCAACACGCACCTGGTTTACACTTTTATGGGTTTAGATCTTATACAAATAGAAAATTGATTTCATCACTACCGTTAGGTTAACATAATCCTGTCTGGTTACTGGTTATATATATGATACATACCTCTTCCCTGGGGGTATTTCATTGATAGTCAAATAGATAGGCCACACAGATAATTTACTTGATCTGATCAGTGCTACACCATCAGTATTCATTTGGGTTGAAATATGTAGCTCGTTGCTGGTTGGTGGTACATTCGACCCTCTTACATAAATTCCATTAAACATTTCTTTATACAGTTTACTGTCTAAAACATCACTTAAATTATCACTTGTGTCTGTAAGCCTTGACTGTCTGTACAATATGATGTCATCTAAACATTCTGTAATGAAAAGAAAACACCAATATTATAAATGCAAAAATTCACAGGTTCAAACACATCAACATCCAATTCAGACGTTTTGCTTTACAAAGCTACAAGGCCCTCGGAAGCACCGCGGCCACTGCGGTCATGCCATGGCCACACCACTTCTTTGCCAGATTATGTTTTTTTTGACAGCCATTATTTGTTTTTGACCTAATTTTTTCACATTTTCTACAAAGGCGCCGTAGTCCCTTTCAGATTAGTGTTGACATCATGGACGTGTGTTTAATTACATAATATAACCACACATAGGCCTACTTAATTTGCAATTTGCAAATGTCGACAGGTATGATTGTAACAAGGTGGAGAGCACTGCAGTGTCAAGAGAGGATAGTATTGCATAACTAAAGATGTTGGGACAAGGAAAATATCATGTACAATGTAAAATGCATTTATCTCTACAACAGCATCCATCAAGGACAATCAAGTAGACTACCCATGATCCTATTTTCAGATGGATACTACAATAGACTCCTCCCAAGTCGGATACTCTATAGTCAGATTATTGTTAAAGTCAGACAGAAATTCTGGTCCCATTCCTGTTAGATTCCTTGTCCAAGTCGGATAATCACTCAAGTCAGACTGAAATGGTTGGTCCCAATGAATCCTACTTGTGAGGAGTCTACTGTGCGTGAAAGTCCTAAGTAGGCAACTTACCTTGGACAACTTGCTGCAGTTGATGCATAACCGGAATAAGTATAAAATAACTGGAGTCCAAGTTTGCAGAGCACAGGGAACACTCGGACTTTTTCCCATTGTAATGCTTACAGCTTTCACAGTAGTAATGGTAAATCAAAGAGGAAATGGATGTTTCTTAAAGAAGTCCTTGAAAACCTTCGTTGATTTGGCAAATAAGTTTGGTAATGCACAATGCAGTTCTATTAAAGTCAAGAGGTCTGACAGACATTCACCAGAAAGTTTGTGACGCATAACAAAAGTGACAATTAATAGCATGCTGCAAGCCAATGTTAGTCGAGCACCATCGAATATAGGCTTGCTAAATGTGGCATCATCAATCTGAGGGGTTTTGCTTGTTGCTGAATCTGATGAACCAATCCCATAAGCAGATGTCTGCCCTGATTCAGGTTGAGTATCGGTATTTCCTGAAGGTTGATCTAAATCTTCCTGATCTTCATCACTGGATGAGTCTGAGTTATCATCAGCATATGAATCAACATATTCTTTGTCAGGCTCACAATTTAATAATTCAGACATCATGTCTGTGACAGCAGTTTCCACTTTAGAATACACAGGCTCTTCAATTTCGGACAGAAAAGAGTCATTAGCTGTTCTCTCAGCAACAGGATTAGAAGATGAACTCAGTGCCTGATGTTTCTGGCGCCACGAAGTTGTGTTTGGACATTTAACGCTGCCATCAAACTTGTAGTGATTGTAAGGCCCACGTCTTTTCTTGGACATACTCATCTTGAAAAAATAAATAAATAAATAAATAATATTATACAGAGTGACTAGGGCCTACTACCACGGTAATTGACGAGTCACGGCAGTTCAGTTAAGTGAATGCATTAGTGTTAGAATCATGGCCGATGTTATTGGCACTTATTTAAGTGCGTCCAAACACAAAAATTGATAGAATTTCGCGTTAGCCGCACTTATAAGTGTGTCCAAGATGCACATAGCTCGATCCATTGCCCACACTTATTTTAAGTGCGTCCAATGCTAAAAAAAATTTCCTTGCCCAAACTTATTTTAAGTGGTACTTTCTAAAAACTGGAATGGAATCAACTCACTGTCAACTGGCACGGCGAGCAGCACTAAATAAAAATTATCAAAATAAGTGTGGCGAAGGGAAAATTTCAGCATTAATATTATCCGCACGTAATCAAAATAAGTGTGGCGAAGGGAAAATTTCAGCATTAATATTATCCGCACGTAATCAAAATAAGTGTGGCGAAGGGAAAAATTCAGCATTATCCGCACGTAATCAAAATAAGTGTGGCCAAGGGCAAAATTCAGCACTGGCCACAGTGCAAATAGTCACTTCGTAGATAGCTCTAGAACTATAGCCCTCCGCTCCGCCGCAGGCCTAGAGCTGCCCTATGCCTACTTCGTAGAAATCATGTTGTCATTGAATTCTCGCTCGGTCGATCCAGGGTGACAAATAACGCAGTGGCTGGAGGTACGGTAGCTGTCGGTCGTTGAAGCCCCTTTTTAACGTTAGGGTTAGGATTAGGGTTAGGGTTAGGGTTAGGTTTAGGGTTAGGGTTCTAGCTCATCTAAACTCTCAAATCATGAATTTATTTCCCAAGGCTTTATTTCGAAATCTGGCGCCACCGCCACCATCTTTGTCTCGTTAAGTATGAACCCAGCAAACACCGCACATTCTCGTAACATTTGCTGGAGGTTCTAGTTTGGTTACATTAGCCAAAAAATTCCGATATCGTTATGCATTCATTGGTTTTACTTGGTGAGAGAGTTATGTTCTTGGAATGTTCGGAAAACATTAACCGTCCTCGGATGGTTTCGAAACTCCTAATGGCCGTTTTTGTGATGTTGCAAACTATATAGCACAGGTATCAAATGTATTTTTGTTTGCGTTGTTCGCAGTGGCTACGGGGACGGTAGCCGTATCTTAATGTCTCGAGGCTACGGGTACGGTAGTCCATTTGCGCATTCATCGCTTTCCCACAAAATGTCGTTCACTAGCTATTAATTAATCTCCAGCCTAATTAATTAATTATTAATTAATTAATTAATTAGCTAGCCTACACTAGTTGTTTGGGATTGATTGCCAGTTCAGAAACAGTTCAGTTCAGTGTAATTGTTATTGAAAGCCAAAGGTTATACACCATAGATTAATTCATCTATTTTTAGGCGCTATATATGCGGCTCGAGTTGCTTTATAGTTAGTGTTAAGGTTAGGTATAGGGATAGTTACCGTATACTGTTTGTACTTGTGTGTGGGTGACTGCCGTACTCGAGACATTTAAGATGAGTCTGCATGCAGCGCATATACGTAGTGTTGCTGCAGTTAATATGGCCCTTTCGGGTTCAACTTCAAGGATAGAGAACATGGGTCCCAATAAAACCAATGTCATTTACATCAATATAAATATAATATTATATCAATATAATAGGTTAGGGTTATGGTTAGGGTTTACCGTTAGGGTTAGGATTAGGGTTATGGTTAGAATTAGGGTTAGGCACATTGGTTTTATTGGGACCCATTTTCGGAGGTTGATCAATATGTTATATGAATGTTGGTAAAAACGTTCTCAGAATGTCAGGAAAACTTTCCTAAAAAACGTTATTAAAACGTTACTGATAAATGTTTCTGCTAACCTAAAAGAAACATTCCCATAACATTCAAGGAACATAACTTTGTTAGCTGGGAAAGCGAATGGAGTCCCGTACCCGTAGGCGTAGCCTCGAGACATTAAGATACGGCTACCGTACCCGTAGCCACTGCCGCACAATAAAATCGGTTTGCCTCGATAAGTTCCACTCCAGTTCGTAATATTCGAAGCCAACAAAATTATTTTATGAATCTGCAAACCTTATTTTATAGAATACAAAGCGTGCTTGATATATTCATTTGGGATTTAAGCCGAAAATTATGATAAAAACTCACACTTTTTCTTCAATCTTCGTGAGTTCGGCACACCGATTTTCAAAAAGTCAAGGTCAACCTGTTGCGAGCGTATTTAGTACACGTGTTTATCATTGGTCAAAATTTTGTAATTTCCGAGCGCAGGACGAATGAAAATTCCCGTTGAAAGTTACGGTGGCACGTGTATATTATTAGTTCTGGTTCACCCACAGACTAACGGAATTACACTACGGATTTTGCTTGTTTAGCTACCATTTTGCTGTCTATTCATGCTGTTTTATTGTTACAATTTTCATCGTATTTCTCGGTCGTATAATAATATTGGAGAGTATTGTAGAGTTAATGGGAATGGAAGGAACACACGCAAAAGTGTACCAAACTCATGCTGGGCGGCAGTTTACTGGCTAAAAGACGGGAAAACCAGCATCCAACAAATTGATGGACATGACATTGACAATGACATGCATGATGGAATTAGAAAGTTTCGGCGATTGATTGTCATACAGCTAAAGTATGGTAGATCTTAGAAGACCTGTGGCTGCCAGAGTGTTGAAAACCAGCGTAAATATAATAAATAATTTACAGTGATGTGAATTTTCTGCTTTTAGGGCAAATTAGGCTGTTTACTGTTAGTCTCTGACAACCCATGGGCGTAGCCAGTATGTAGCACTGTCGCCGGGCCTACACTTTTTTTGAGTATGTAGCACTGTCGGCCCGGCCTACACTTTTTTTGGCCAAGTTATCTTTTTTTTTTAAACGCCTATAATTCAAATCCATAAGCTTGCTGACGAGTTTAAGAGTCTAGACAGGAAAAACTATTGAAATGAACGTAGTGTAGGGATTTCGGATATCAAACTTGTACCTAGCTAATAAACTGGCTAGGTAATGTGTATAAATCAAAGTAACAAAATGATGTATATTTACAACTACCGTCATGGGCGCGGCCATCTTATATCTGCGGGACTAGTCAGAGATTTTAACCGAGGGAAATTATAGAGGGCAATAGATGCTACGTATCATTTAGTTTCATATCTATAAAATTCTAAGGTAATTCAAAATGACTACTATAGGCATATCACTCTATAACAGAAATCTCTGTAGGTTTACCTTTATTCTATTTTTTAGCTCATCTGACATAGTCAGATGCAGCTTGTAGAAATCGCACGATTGTCCGTCCGTCCGTCAGTCATTTTGAATAAGTAGGCTCTGTTATAGCGTGATATGCCTAGTAGTCATATTACAACTTGGCAGTCTATATTCTAAATCTACATGTATATTACAGTGATATGCCTAGTAGTCATTTCAAATGGGTAGTCTGTTATAGAGTGATATGCCTAGTAGTCATATTACAACTTGGCAGTCTATATCTACAATGTATATTACAGTGATATGCCTAGTAGTCATTCAAAATATGTAGACATCAAGACGGACGCACGGACGGACTGAAGGACTGAGCCCATTTCCATAGCTCGCGCCCCGACACTTTCACTAGTTTCAGTGACCTGGGAGCTAAAAACACATCCTTGCAAGGCTTTTTCGCTCTATAATGTGGTATATTTTTAGACTGTTGTGAAAAAAACATTGTCATCAAATTCAGTCAAGAATTCATGAAACAACATTTTTCTTGGCCGCAAAATGTAAACAAACAGAAAATGATAGGCAATGATGTCCCAGATATGGTGCCCGCGGAATCTGCCACTTTGTCGACTGCTTCTGTGTTAACACATTTTACACACTTGTTGAATGAAATCTGCACAGAAAACTATTCAAAATATATGCCTTCCATTACCAGTTTCCTTCAATTCCTGGGGTGTTCGTACTTTGGCCAAGTCCATGATGCTTTCCTGAAACACAGTTGAATCAAGTCATAAAACAGAACAACAGCTGCCGGTTATTTAGCACAGTGGTTTGAGATACTGTATTACAGGGCAAGGTGATCGTGGATCGATCTCGATTCATACATCGTAACCATGCTCACAAGCTTTAATGTACCTACAATGTGTTTGTCAGCTGTCTTGTAGCAATGATAAGTCAAAATTGTATTCAGTAAAATTAAAGTTAAAACCACGCCTATCTGATAAAGCATTGAATTTTTTGTAAATATGTCGAGTAGAACTGAAGTAATTCACAATTGAATGGCAGAAAATATAGGTCAATTCCTGCCTACTACGCATCTGATGTTACTCAAGGCGAGTGTACCTGAGCCGACCAACACTCCACGGAACCGTAATTACATGTGAATTGCGAATTGTTTATACTGATTTATTTATATTACATTATCTTGATCAGCCTGTAGCTGTGAGAGGGGAGTTTTTGTTGTTCGTGTTGTTGTATATGCAATAACATATTTTTAAAAGATTATCACATGGGAAGCTGAAACCAAGATTATGATTTCCCAAACATTTTGTGGGACAAAAATGTGTGTTCAGACAAACAAATCATGAAGGGATATATATTGCATACTCCGACAAAATCCAAAATAACATGAGTATGATCTATGGTTGTGATCTTGTATACGCTCTCTATCAAAGAAGACATGTATGCGTCCATTTGGTAAAACAAAGATGCCCATCCCTCTAACGGTCCGGCGCCATAGCATTTTACAATGTACTTCCGGGTTTAAATATAGTGAACACTGAAATATACCGTGACAAGATATCTCAGAATTACGATAAAGAAACAATGCCGATAATATGGTGATGTCATGTCTGCTGAAAATGTTAAAATAAATACTTACCACTTTACTTTTCTTTAGTTCTGTTATGGATTCTATAACAAACAAATTACAAACAAGCACTCTTTTGTGACTTTCATTATAGGATCTTAACCAAATCTACTTCATATTTACTTAATAATGTGCCTGATGTAAAACATGATCATGAGACGGTTGATATATATATATATATATATATATATATATATATATATATATATATATATCTGTACAATGAAAACTAATATTTATAGACATGTACATGTACCATATTAATTATGATAAATTAATTAAATTCACTGATCACCAAACAAAGCACTGAACAATACAGGAAAACTATTATTTATAACATGGTCATAGATATATATTTCAAAATTTTGTGCTTTAGTAATGCTACGATTTACCTCACTCCTTAGCAACAGCAAATAAATCCCAAGAGAGAAGTTGCATATATAGATACATACCATTCTTCCTCTTGTTTCCACTCAGGCTCTTAACCACATTGTCTAGTCTATTCTTCTTCACTAAAACAGACATATTGAGTACTAGGTTAATTAGTGTAATTATTGTAAGAGTTGTACAGAACAGAAAAGTGTGTTTACAGACAGTCAGAACATATGACAAACAAGGAGTGTTTGCGAAACACGGATGCCTTGGCTCCCATGTGTGTGTGTGTGTGTGTGTGTGTGTGTGTGTGTGTGTGTGTGTGTGTAGTGTGTGTGTGTGTGTGTGTGTGTGTGAGTGTGAGTGTGAGTGTGAGTGTGTGTGTGTGTGTGTGTGTGTGTGTGTGTGTGTGTGTGTGTGTGTGTGTGTGTGTGTGTGTGTGTGTGTGTGTGATGACAGACTTTGACCTTCGACAGAGGGTCAGAGGGTAATGTTTTCTTGTGTGCGACACTCCACTTAGTGATGATACACATGTCCATGACGTTTTCAAGTTATCAGAAGTTATGCCCAGGTAAAGTGGTGATCTTAACCTAAGTTTTTACCCGCGGTTAAAGTGGTGACCTTGACCTTTGGGCGAGGACCAGGGTGTCATTTTTGTTGTTGTTGACAACTCCGCACTAATGCTGATGTGGTCATGGCCATAGAAGTTATCGTCACTGGTTCAGAAGATAAGTGCACTTTACAACTTTAAACCATGCGGGATGGAAAGACAGACAGACATTCCAAAGGCTAGATTCCCGATCTATCGATACGGGGGGCATATAACGTTATTAGAACACTCTAGAAGATTACAACTTGTTTATACATATACACATTAACATTCATAATATGACATATGCTATACAGTAAAAAATAGTTTTAAGCTCACCAATTGGGTTTTCTCTTGTTCTGCTGTCCATTCTTTACGCTTGAGCGCAGCCTATTCTTCAGTCTATCCTTTATATCTACGCCCTCTTTCTGCTTTCCCCCCTCCTTCTCTCTGCCGGTTTCTTCCCCTTTCCTCTGCTGGCTTCCTCTCTTCCTCTGCCAGTCTTCCTCTTCCTTCCTCTGCCTTTCCTCCTCCTTCCTCTGCCGGTCTTCCTCCTTCCTCTGCCGGTCTTCCTCTTCCTTCCTCTGCCTTTCCTCCTCCTTCCTCTTCCGGTCTTCCTCCTCCTCTGCCTCGCTCTCTCCTCTTCCTTTCCTCTGCCGGTCCTTCCTCTGCCTTCCTTCTGCCTTTCCCTCTCCTTCCTTCTCTGTCGCGTCTTCCTCTTTCCTCTCCGGCTTCTCTCCTTCTCTCCTTCCTCTGCCGGTCTTCCTCTTCCTTCCTC